TACATCTGGTACAGAAAGCAGCACACCAAATGAACAATGCAAGGCTGATTTCAGCATAGCTTTCAACTTAAAATAATTTGAACATGACCAAAACTCTGCCACTGTTCTGAACATGTAGGAAATGCAATTCATTTAGAACAAAAATTAATGCTACTTTTCAGTAAAACATTAGAGTTAACATGATTTCTACAATACCCTTCTAAAGTAACCAATTTATCTTGACAATCAAAAGCAATTAAAATTTACCAGTTCATGACCTGAATTAATTATCTTCTACGTAAGCACCTGCTCTCCATAATTTGCAATGCCTACGATCACGGCATCCCCCCCCCCCCCCCATATTTGTGTGCTCTATTAAATGAAACTGCAACATTAAAATGAATTTGATATTTATATTAAATAGCTAATTACACAAAACTTCAAATGTTCAATATTAAAATAAAATAAATAATTTACCTTTCCATAATTAGAGAATCTACCTGAAGAAATAGCAGGAACAGTACAGGGGAATTTCTTACTGCCTTCCTTTCTTGAGTCTACCACATTTGCTAGCATATCTATAGCTGACATTAAGAGCTGAAGCGGAGGAGCAATTTTTCTTTGCACAAAGGTGGAAGTGGACTGCAATGTTTTGAAGCAGCTCAGGGAGCAGGACTAATGCTGTTTTTGAGTAGCTTTGGCACAGTAAAAGGGGAGTTTCGTAGTAGGTTCTGAGCACCAAGAGGTGTGTTTGGAGCAATAAGTTAGTTTTGGAGTAGCTTTCTAGGGTTAAACATCATCATCAACATTTCTGGTAAAAAAAAATCCTATGGCTTTCACGAACTTTCAGTACTAATGAGCTTACCAGATGTACCACTTACAAATTTGTGTGCGTGTGTGTATATTTGTGCATTACATAAAACATGCCCATTTCATACTGATCCTGAAACAAAAAGAAAAATACTTTCTGGGTGCTAAAAACATGCAAATATATTTTTACGCGAACGTATCTACTGCAAGGAGTCTCACTAGTCTCCGCAGCGTTGCACCTAATGTATGAAACGGAGATAGATAATCGTGCCACATTTTGCCCGGCAAAAGTTTGTAATCCCCATGCTAATGAAACAATACTCTGCTCATATGTGCTCGGTTTAAAGCGATGTGTGTTCGAGCAATCTGCACGCACGGTACAGCGAGCTGCCCGGCAGCATAGGCTCCACACTGCACGCAAATGACCAGGAGATAATTCAAGGCCAGGCAATTGCCCTGTGTTTTACTGAAACGGTCAGTTGTTGCTTAGTATCACATCGTGGCAGAAAAGTGCACATATGTGTAGCGGAAAGGCGGTAGTGTCCATTCTGTCGCTATTTCAGTCGCTGCATATTTCGGACCGTGTAATAGCTTTGAAATTCTCCTTGGTGTCGCCACTGCGCACTATAAAACGATTGTGCAAAAGTGCCAGTCAAGTATCTTATCCGCACTCTGGCAAAAAGAAAGATAAGACTTGCTGGCGGGTACTTTGAGCAACATCTGTTGTGGTACTGTATTTGTTTTGCTGGTGGCGATGGGGAACGTCAGATGTACATTTGCCCTAGTAAACGTGCACTGCTGTTTAGTGCATGATCGTGCCACGTTCCTGGCTGGTGCAAATTACCATGGTTTCACTGTATTATCTGATGATTAGCAGTTAGTCAGGTTAGTACCACTACTTGGACGTGGAAACCACGGTGATAACAGAAATGAGACAAGCGCTAGAAAGCACCATGAACAAACCAAATTACATGATCGAACTCAACTAGATAAGGATGCGGCCGCATCCTTGGTGTAGCCAATGCTCATTGTCGCTCGGTCAACAATAATTGGCTAGATTTTGCGGTTTACACTTTAAATTGACAATTTTAGCAAAAGTTGCTTGTCATGCGCAGAATGGTGCAATTGGCGCAGCACTTCCCTGTTTACACTGAAATTGCCAACTAACCTGCAAAAATTGTAAGTTCAGTTGGTATCACTCAGCCTTAAAGGGTTCAATTGACAATACAGACCTTCCCAACACTGCTAATGTAAAAAATAGAAAATGCATATGCTCAAAGCTTCCCGCATGCAAAAATAAACTTAAAATATACTTTTAATAAAACAAAGCCATATTTTATTATAAAGCACTTGAGCAACACACGTGACGTCATAGTTTATAAGGTATGCAGCTTAGCAGTAAAGACCCAAGCAGCTCGTTAGTTACCATACACAACGTATGTAGCGGCCACGGTTAAGAACAAGCTAGCTACATTAGCAACTCCATAAACTGGCAGTACTTCTGGCTTATGACTAAGTACCGATGGTGCAACACATACATTGGAACAGACGCATCGCTTTTAAACCTCGTACCCGCGGTACAGGTAGGCATAAGCCAGACAGTACGGTTGGTGTTCAGTTTACAGCACACTGCTAAAACGAGTAACTTTATAGCGTAACTGAAAGTGTCACAAACAATGGTTCATAATCGAAACATCTCACACCAGAATGCGGCAAATGTATAAACCAAGGAGTGAGACATTTGCAGGTATGTTCACAGATGGCATGATTAGGAGGGAAAAACAAAAAATTAGGGCACTTACTGAACGTACTGTCATGTACACATTTATGCGGATTGAAAGATACACGAGTCAGTTGAACACGAGCATACGGGGACGGCGTATACCACGAAAAAAAAAAAAAAACGCGCCTATAATGCAAACCTGAAAGTGGCACAACGCACCAAGAAGTTTTACTCACTAATGTAACTATCACGACCCCCAATTACGTACGCCCCTGGTCATAAAGAAACCCCTTACGAAACTTCATTAGCACCGGAACAAGCATAACGATAGACTCAAGTGAAACCCGGCATTTTTTTGCCAAGAAACTTTCGGAAACACCTAACCACAATAGGCACGTTCGCAGCTGTTTTTTTTTTCTTCAAATAAAATCCTCAAAACACGTGGCTATGTTTTATTTTTCTCATCCTTTCGACTGTCTCAGCGTTACCAAAAATCGCTTATAAACCAGCCTTTAGGTTATTCAAGTCGGCTACTAGTGGCTAAACAGAAATTCGCCGATAAGCACTCCGAATATAAGCTGCGAGGCGACACAAAAATGCCTAAAAGCTATCGCGTGGCTCTAACGCGCGAAATGTTACGCGCACCTGCCCCCCGCCAATAAGCAACGGGTTAACAACGCAAATGACTACATCGGCGACACTAACGTAGGGCGCCTGTCACGAAACAATGTGGTGGGCTCCTGGGAGGGGCACAAAGCGCGCACTGCAGCGAAAGCCGGGCGACACGACGCGCAATCAATGAACGGCATCAACAAAGCGGAGGGGCGCAGTCAGCGATCCAGACGAGAGCGCGCGCGCACACACGCACAAAGGCCAGCAGCCGCAGTGCACGAACGGCCAGACCGGGCTGCTCGCGCGGCCGCGTGAGCAGCCCGGCGCAGAGCCCACAAAATGCAAAGGTGACAACGCGGCGCAACAGGTCAGCGCCGCTGCAGATGCGAGAAGGCGTACTCACTCTGTTCCAGTTCAGCACTGCCCGCTTGGCTTCTGCAAATCAGGACCGGCAGAAGACCACATGCTGCATTTCTCGCGGGATCTGCAAATGCCAAAGAGAGATGGGCACGTGCCGCAACAACGTAGGACCAAAACAAAGAGGCCCAACCGCGGGCGCCATCGAAGCGACACGAGCGCGAGCCAATCGGGGCGTTTAAGCAGACTGACGTCACGGCTCCCCGCTGCAGACGACGGGGAAAAGCCCGCCGAAACTCCATGTTTTTCTTGCGACAGGTCAAGCGCCGCAGGCGCCCCCAGTTACAGCACGTCGGCACGTTGCGCGCTCCTCGGCCAGCGCCGCAACACACGAAATAAACAACCAAATCTCGAGGGCTACGACGGCGTCGCCGAGGCGGCTGGCCGGCCGGCCCCGATGGGCTGCTCCCTCCCTGGTTCACAGCCGCGAGCAAGCCAGACCCCTCCCCGAATGGCTGCCGCGGCATGTGGCACGCCAAAGGTGCAGCCAAATGACGCGGCGGCATTTAACTGGTACAAAATATAAGCCTAATCAATGTTGCCGCGGGCTCCTTGCCGCCATGGAATGTGAATTTGGACAAAGAGAGCGTGCGCACTTGTACAGCGCTTAAAACTTCCGGGACGGCAACATTTCGCTAATGTAGGTCAGCGAAAGGCTCCTCCTAATGTAAGGATCGAGCCCGCTTAGATTATAGAAAAAGTAAACAATCTAACGGTCTCTGAACAGCAGCGCGAGCGCTTGCGACATATTTCGGGCGCTCGCGCTGCGAAAAACCAATCGAATCACAAAACATGCTTCGTACGCCAACACCGCGTGCTTTGTTCACGCCACGGTGATCCATGCGCACGCGCTCCGAAAAGACGCTCCGGCCATAATTCCGGTCTCTCACGGTCACGGCGCATGCAAGGCTGTCGCCCAAGCCTACTTATTTACCTGCTAGGCAAGTTCATCTCGGGGAGCGGTCAACAAGTAATGTCTGACTAAGCCTTTCAGCCCCAATTATCGTTTCGACAAACGCACACACGGAAGATCGGGGACCAGGCAGGATCACAACATTCGATCACACTCGAAGGAAAATCATTCCATGGCGCCACAAAACAGTCACACACAACAGCTTTCCAGTGACAAGTCTTACCTTTTGAGTTGAGGAGCTCACTTAGCAAACAAAGGCTGACGACTATGGCCGGTAATGCGTTGCTGCCGTTGCTGCAGCGAATGGAGCCACCCGTAAAGCCTAAAACAAAATCCAATAGATGGCCGTTAGATCGCGTTACTTGTATGTTCCTAGCAAAATATAGTAGTGTCTATATTACCAATTATTACCACCCGCCACACGCCTCGCGAGTTAGAGTCAAAAGTAAACGAATATACGAGCCTATGACGTAGCGAAAGAACGCCAAAAACCTTCAACGGGAGGTGAACGGGAGAGGCGGATAAGCGATCTCGTGTAATCTCGTTCTGAGGGGTTTGTTTGCGAGACTGGACGTTCTTGTGCTTGTAGATAGTGTTAAGTAATGGGCTGCTGCCCTTAGGTCGTTTTTTTTTTTTCTCTCGATCGTTCGTTACGCCGTGTTCATTTTGCGTAACCAGTGGCTCTGTGTACCAGTGCAAGCGCTGAGGCGAAATAGGCCTCGACGATTTTCGGTGCTAATAAGCTTCAGCTGGGTGGACTATTGCTCGGCACAGCATTAATACGCGTCGCTCAGCTGTCTGCTTCATTTGGCCGACGCAACAAGGCACAGCGCTTGGTTTCCCGGGTCGTTGCTCGCGGTGCAGCGCTTGATGTGAGCGGTGTCGGCGCCGAAGGCGCTGCCGTGTTGACACCGAGTTTTCGGAGTGAATCAGCTGAAATGTCGGACATCAAGGCGCTGGAGCACCCGACTCTCAAGGTGGGTATTTGACACCCTTACTCCGCGAGGTAGGCTAAGCGAATGCTACTGTTCGTAGGTGCCGTACGAGATCCTGAACAAGAAGTTTCGTGCGGCCCAAAAGATCATGGATCGGGAAGTGTCGCACGTGCAGAGCGGGGCGGCCGAGTTGGAAAAAAGCCTGCGTGGGAAGGTGCCCGCTGGTCAGCTGCGCACTCAACTTGGCTGCTTGCTGGAGAAGCTGGAGTTGCTGCGGCGTAAGAGCGCAGAGAGCATTACCGAGGAGTTGGAAGCCGCGGCGGCGTGCAAGCGTCGCGTCGAACATCTCAAGGGCTTCGAGGCTGGCGGCGAGCAATGGAAGAGACAACGTCTCGACCGCATGCTCGTGGAGCACTTGCTGCGTGCGGGTTATTATGGCACGGCAGCCAAACTTGCAGAGCGCAGTGAACTGCGCGATCAGACAAATATGGACTTGTTTCTCGTTGCAAAGGAAGTTGAGGATTCGCTCGCGAGCCGCGACACTAGTAAGTGCCTTGCATGGTGTCACGACAACAAATCGAAGCTACGAAAGTTGCGCAGCACACTCGAGTTCCAGTTGCGGCAGCAAGAGTTCGTCGAGCTGGTGCGTCGCGACCGACGTCTTGAGGCCGTGCGGCATGCTCGGCGTCACTTCGGCGCGCTCGAAGACGAGGCACAACTGGCCGAGGTGCAGCGTGTGATGGGTCTGTTGGCGCTGCCCAATATTCGACCACCGGCCGGTCAATGGGAGCTACTTAGCGAAAACCGCTGGAGCCTGATGGCCGACAGCCGCTGGGACCTCCTCAGGCAGCAATTCCGCCAGGAGCAGCTGCGCTTGTATCAGCTGAGCAGCTGTTCAGTGTTGATCGTGACCCTGCAGGCCGGCCTTTCGGCGCTCAAGACGCCGCAGTGCTACGACGAGAACCAGCGCAACCCAGACTGCCCTGTGTGCAGCCGTCCTCTCAATTGTCTCGCGCTGGGCCTGCCGTACGCGCATTGTTCGCAGTCGCGCCTCGTCTGCCGCATCTCTGGCCAGCCTCTCAACGAGCACAACCAACCTCTGGTGCTGCCCAACGGCTTCGTTTACGGCGAGCAGGCGCTGCGTGCGATCGCCCGTCACGGCCGTGTCACCTGTCCGCGCTCTCGCGACTCCTTCGATTTGCGGGAAGCCGAGAAGGTCTACGTCATGTGAGGAGCGAAGCAGTGGATGCTTTGAGCGCTTGTCCGCATTCAGGACAAAGAGGGTGCAAGTGCCTACTGTGTGTCGGCCATATACACATATAATTTAATCAGTGACATGGTAAATGTAGCCTTTCAGTTGCTGTGGAAAAACTTCAGGGGAGAATTGTGCGTGGTCAAATATGTATCATTTTTTATATGAAGCTAGACCTAGGCAAAGCACATTCTCATTTGAGAATGGTGTTAGGGGCATATTTTCATACACAAGCTGCTTTGTGTGCTCAGTTTGGTTTATACTAGATCTGCGTGCGTGGTTATTTTATTAAACATCAAATATTGCTGTCAGGTATTGTAGATGTGACCAATAAAGTGCCACAGTGGTTGAAGAGCCATGAAGGAAAAATGACTGCTCCATAAAACAGTAGCCTGAATTCACAGGGCACGGACAAACAGAATCGCACAACACAGGCACTGAGACAACACATCAGCGCCTGTGTTACGCGTGATTTGGTCTCGTACATTTGTGCTGATGTCTTATTGATAATGAGTAGCCGTCTAGCCTGCTCCCAAGTAATGTGTGCATTGTTGTATTGGCAGCTAACATCAGTGGCGAAACAGGCCACTTGCTCATTCCACTCGTAGCATCTAGCTAAAATCTAAAAATTTTGAAGGGCTATTGCACAGAATTATTAATAAAGTTCTGGATGGTGGAATACACACACATATTGTTTGATTGATATGTGGGGTTTAACATCCCAAAACCACTGTATGATTATAAAGACGCACTAGTGGAGGGCTCCGGAAATTTTGACCCTTGGGGTTCTTTAATGCGCACCTAAATCTGAGCACACAAGCCTAGAGCATTTTCGCCTCCATCGAAAATGCAGTCGCCGCAGCCGGGATTGAATCCCGCGACCTGCGGGTCAGCAGCCGAGTACCTTAGCCTGTAGACCACCTTGGTAGGGCCACACACACATACCTGTGGCTGTATTGATAAGTTAAAACTCTCAATAAATGGTTAATGTGAAAATTCGGTGCCAAGTTTACGAAAGAGAATTTCTGGAAGATTTGTTTTCTCAAAACAGTAACAAGACAGCATAACAAAAGGCCGTGGTCTATTGTGCTTATCTTTACCAAATACTGCCAGTGAAGTTTACACCAAACCAGAACTATATGTGAAAATTTTGGGCAGAATTTAGTTAGGTATTCGTTTTGGGTGTCTGTGTTGAAAAATTCTCCTTGTCGGGGATACAATCTGCACCGTTACTTAGCTGCTGAGGCTTATATGTGGTCAGGCACGCATGCTTAGTTGAATGCCTTAAGGATAGTGGTGGTTACGCATATTGATAATGCCGCTAAAGGAGGGACAGGAGGTACACCTTTACTAGTGAGCCAATAAATTGTCAAAAAATTTACACTGGAAATGTGCAGGGGCAGTAGATTAGAATGTCTAAAGTAAGATGCATATGGTTTCGGACAAGGAATGTCGCTGGAGCAGTTCTTCTCACAAGGGTACTTCCTCCATTTGGGGAGCAACTGCCATAGGAGCACTTTTATGACTAGCGTCCTCTTTCCCACCTTCACTGGCAGAGGAAGAGAATGAGGTGGTGTGCAGAGAAGGGCAATATGGGGAGGTTAATAGCAGCTGTACTAGAAGAGCTTAATTTGCACTGGGTGAGAACACTGCTATGAATTGCCAAAAATGGGTGAAAAATGTTGAACTAAAGGAAAACAGTCATGTGCAAAACAAAAATAGTCAAATGTATACCTTTTTTTTCATGGAAAAACTACCCATTGATAAAAGCAGTAAACTTACGATTTTGCTCTTTTATACCACTGGTATTTTTGCATGGCTGTCAAAGAAACAATTAAAAAATTGTTTAGCTTAATTTCCAATTCTCTCTCACCAACCTTTCTTTCTTTCCATCAAACTAAGATTTGAAAAGATTATCCCACGAGTTTCAGCCATGTTTAATCTGAATTGGCTGTCCCTTTCGTGCAAGTTCACAGAGCTGGGTGCATTCTATAAGTCTGTAAGTGCAACTATATTATAAAAAAATTCAACACTCATGAATATCAAGGCATTATATTCCTCATGGTAGTCGTGATAGCCTTGTATCTGCACCTATGACTTCATAGCGGTCCCTCAAACAGAGCTTGTGCGCTTCCCCTTCACATTCATTTCACTCACAGAATATCTTTTGTGTAAAATGTTTAACCACGACAGTGTAAAACTAGGATATAGAGCTCTTCCCTTAATTACAAAGTGGTCATAGCTGTTTGAGCTTCTGAAAGAAACATTGGATCAGTTAGATAAAATTGTAGGCTCAGATCTCTGTTTTCATTCATTTAGTACCACAAGTTTCATGGCTTGAAAGGGGTTAGACAAGTACTGATAGAAGTTTTTGAAATTTTCATATTAACACTAGATTCCATCGCAGTGCTTTAGTGGCTAAGGCACTCGGCTTCTAACCCGCAGGTCACGAGATCGAATCCCGGCTGCATTTTCGATAAAGGCAAAAATGCTGTAAGCACATGTGCTCAGATTTGGGTCGCATTAAGGAACCCCAGGTGGTAGAAATATCTGGAGCCCTCCACTACGGTGTCTCTCATAATCATATGGTCTTTTGGGATGTTAGACCCGACATATCAATCATATTAACACAAGTGTAGAGAACACTAAAAAGAGTATAGTGGTGCCTCAGAGTGCATCGAATAAATTTTGAATGCCACATCAAGGGGATGTTTCACAGACTTGTCAACACAGTCTGACATAAGTTTGAGCCACGTGATGAGAACAACTTGTGATGTACTAACAGCAGCTTCATAATCTGCTATCAGCTGTGTATGGTGCATGCAAACAGCAATGAGTGAATTGTCATTTAGCAACTCCGACAGTGATTTTAGAGATTTGGACTGGATAGTGGACATAGAGCTTGAAAACCTCGTAAATTATGTTGTCCTGTCATGATAATCTCTGCTGTGTTGGGACTGGCTTGCAGATGCTGTGCAATCGAAACTCAATATTATGCCGTCCTTCCTGGCCTCAGTGGATCGAGCCCCACAAGGGCGTCTGTGCAAGCAGGTGTTTGGTGCGTGGCAACACAACACCAAACACCACGAACCCGAGCGAACGGGGGGGTGGGGGTTCGACTCCCTCCCATGCCTCGCCATGAGAAAGGGGATCCTGGGGGTTGAGCCAGCGCTGAGTGCTTGGACCTTTAAGGCCCCCTTAACACACCCTATTGGCCCTCCCAGCTTCACGTAGATAGCACCCCTGGGCTGACCCACCCAGGGGAAATCGGCAGTTGCCTTTTCCTATCTCTCTCTCTCCCTACATCTTCGTCTTTATCTCTAACTTTTTATCTGTCCTGTCTTCTACTCTCTTCCGTTTACTTCCAAACTTCCTGGCAGCTACGGTTAACCCTGTGCAAATAGCTTACTTTGGACTAGGTGTATTGGGTTATAGTAACGTTGTACGGCTGACGTCTGCAGGTCTCGGCATCCGCAAACTTGTAGTGTCCGCTCATGGGGCTCTGTGTTGGGTGGCCGCCAAAGCTTCTGAAGAAAATTAAACTGGCATGTATAGAGCTTTTCCCCTGCTAAGTGATCATACCACTATAAGCACCGAAGACTAATTTTTTCAACCGATCAAATGAATACTTCCCCCATTTCCATGTCATACATAGTAAGAAAACTGACAAGCAAGCCAGAACTGTATCCCACTTTGTAGTAGCCAGGTGTCTTACAGAAACTGCTGAGGCCAGGTACAAAGTTGCCAAAATGGCCAGCGAACACCTCCTCCTCGAAGTTCAGGAGAAAGAACAGTTTGAGAAGCTAGAGGGTCTTTCAACTTTTGCCGACACTCCGATTAATGTAACACCACACAGATCAATAAACTCAACTCGTGGAGTGGTATCTGACGCTGATTTGCTTGGCCAGACCGAAACTGAACTCCTCAAGGGGTTGAAGAGCCAAAATGTGATCAATGTATAGAGGATTATCATCAGAAGAGACAAAAAGCAAATGCCAACAAAACACTTAATATGTTCGCCTCCAGTCATCTGCCAGAGACTATTCAAACCGGGTACACAAAGACTTCTATCATTCCATACATACCAAACCCCCGTCGTTGTTTTAAATGCCAGAGGTATGGCGGCAGCTCGCAAAGCTGTCGTGGTCGCCAAACTTGTGCACAATGTAGAGTCTCTGGCCACAATTCCGACCACTGCAAAGACCCCCCACACTGTGTAAACTGTGAAGAAAACCATGCCGCATATTCACGCTCCTGCACGACCAGAGACTGCAGTGTTCTCTGGTCTCAAGGTCTCGCCTCACCAGGCGAGGCCTAAAATTTGAAGCTCGCACGTGCGGGCATCTAATGCCTCCGAGGAGGCAATGAATATCATGGTACCTTTCGTGCCGAAAGAGCAGGATGGCTCCTTGGAGTATGTCAAGAAAAATAAAGTGCCAATAATGGGACCGGACGACTGTCCTACCACCTGAATTTAAAAGTTCACTTCAACACAGGATACTCTCTGTGCACACAGCAGCTTCTTTTCTTAATATGCAGGTAGTGTAACATCCGAAACCTCGATGACCTACAAAAACTCCTCCACGAACGCAATCCAAGAGTGCTGTGTGTGCAAAAGACACACTTAAAACAAATACACACATACTTCCTACGTAACTATCTAATCATCTGAAAGGACCGAGATAATGCCGTGACATCATCTGGTGGTGTAGCTGTTATAGTTTGTCAAAGAATAGCATGTACGCAATTAACCCTTCAAGCTTCTCTCTCACCATCTGCACTGTCTACATACCCCCGCACCACAGTCTACAAAAATATGAATTGAAGTCTCTAATAGACCAGCTACCAGAACTTTATCTAGCCCTTGGGGACTTCAGTGCACATAGCAGTCTCTAAGGTGGCTGTCGTTGCTATGCACGAGGTCGCCTGATTGAACTATTTCTTTTTTCTTCCAGCACGTATCTTTTGAATCGAAAACTCCCAACATATTATAACCTTGCAAATAGAACATTATCTTCTATAGATCTCAGCTTTGCATCTCCGTCTCTTCCTCCCCTTTTTAATCGGGAAGTTATTGGGAATCCATATAGAAGTGATCACTTCTCAATAATTCTAAGCACATCAATAGCTAATCCATGTCCTCCACACGTTTCCAAATGGCATACGAATGCAGCAGATGGGGAACAGTTTCGAAGCCTCACTCTGTTGTACTGACCTGTGTACCTTAAGCATAGAAGCTGCTGTCTACTACTTTACAGCTTTTCTGATCGACGCTGCAACAGAACACATCCCACAAACAAATGGACAGTTTGGAAACCGACGTGTTCCATGATGGAATAACAATTGTCGAAACACACACAAGAAACGAA